GTATAGATAATCAGATCACCTATATCAGATATATATATACAGATGGTAGTGATATTCGACACGTGATAGGTTTATGACTTTCATCGTGACTATAATGAACAAACGTACTACCGAAAGAACAAACGTTATTTATAAAGGGTTTGGAATTGGGCACTCAGGCCTGTATAACATTCTGCCCTTCTAATCTTCACTCCTTTTAGACATAATTTTAAGCATACACCAGTTAATAAGTAACAGTAAACATTATCAAGAGAAGGAGACAGTCATCATTTTTCGGCCATGTTATGAGAAGAGGGAAAATAGAACATGTTGTGACCACTGGAAAGAACTGTGGAAGGAGAGATATAGGAAGACAATGAGAGAAGATGCTTGACAGTCTTGTTGCATGGCATGAAGGTGTGTCGGCACACGAACTGATAAATGCTGCAGGAGATCGCAGATTATGGAGAGGCATGATCGCCCACGCCAGTCGGCAAGGCACGTGATGATGATGATGATGATGAGACATTATCAACAGTATCCAATTTTAAATGCAAGCACTGGAATTTTCCGACATTGCACCTACATTTCTGACCACAGTAAAAACTCTAGTAATTGTAATAAATGCATTTCAAAATAATCTGTTGGAATCTGATTATGGGGATCATTTCGGTAACCAGACCTTCATTCGGGCATGTTTTCTCTGTGACTCCATGATCAAGCTCAGGAAAACCAAGATAGATTGAGCTTGAAGACTGTTTTTTAAACCGCTGAAACGGTCACAGGTGACAAAGATCAGTTTCATGTTTTAAGTCAGCGCATGTAGATATAAGAAGACAAGAATTAGAAGAAGCGCTTGCGACAGGACTACTGCCAATGGCCGACAAACAGTGGTACAGGCTGATTCTGAATGCACTACGTGAAATAATACTTATATGAGTATGTCAACTACGTGATAATGGATGCCCAAAAAAGGGTGGGGCGGGGGGGGGGTGGCGCTAAGTATTAATGCTGCCACAAACTGTGAGCAGTGTCACCTATTTTTCTTATCCTTCATGTAATTGAGTACGCGATTCGGGCTCTTAGCCGCACACACACACACACACACACACACACACACACACAGAGAGAGAGAGAGAGAGAGAGAGAGAGAGAGAGAGAGAGAGAGATAGAGAGACTCGATAGGATTCAGAATAAGGCTATGCGCATCATACTTGAATGCACACAAAAATGCAGCATGCAGAAAGATGCGTCACCTCTTTGATCTTCCAAACATGGAAGTAAGAACAGTGATCTGCCGAGCACGTGCGTATCTGCGTATCAGTGCTGAGACACACCATACATTGCACAGTGAGATTCGCAGGAAGATAAAATAGAGGAAAATCTTGGGTGGGTCAGGCTGGGGATATTATTCAACAAGTTTTTTAATATTTTTTTATGAGGACATAGAGACTGACGAGGAATGGGTACGATTGCCAGCAGAGTTGGGTATATCCTTTTCAGTCTGCATAAAAATGGATATAGATTGTAGACAAGGCCCACTGATGGTTGAGGGAGAAGTTCAAGCTTTAATTCTTGAAAATTCTGCTGACGTAGGTCCGGTTATATACAACGACGCATCCGCGTTCCAAACGTACATAGTTCATGGGCTTTCACGGTTCTGGTTAGAGGGAGAATTGTAAAATAAGATAGCGGAGCTTTTGCTTTGACGACAAGTAGTCTGACTATGAAGGTGATTGCGGTAACAAAAGCAATGATGTGGCTAGAGATGCATCATTTTTTTTCAATGCGTGCTTTCTAAGTGATTCCATAAGCATGCTTGAAAGATAGAGGCGGGATGATTTTGAAGACAATGGAGTCGCTGAGGAAATCTCGTCTAAAAGGAATTAAATTTCATTTTTTTCCCATGACACTCAAGAAGGCAGGACGAAAAGATGATTCAGGAGACGACGTTCAATCGGTAACATTAAAAGATAACAAGAACTTCAGGTCAAAAGAGGTGTCACCAAAGATGAACACTACACAGATAACCAAAGAAGATGGTACTTTCTTATAAGCCGACCACAAACATGGGTAATCCACTGGTCAGGGGAGTGTCAAATATTTAAGGTAGTGGTAGATTAACCGTACAGTTTTGGTTAGGGTTTGATAAATGCGCGACACACAGAAGATTAGTTGACCAACAAAGAACTAGTGTTATCAGTCTCCCCATACTGAGGGATATACTGAAGATGGGATCCGGGGGCGTATGGACTTGTCCGAAGTGCAATGGGGATAATCTGTCGATTTAATAACAAACTAACTAACTAACTAACTAACTAACTAACTAACTAACTAACTAACTAACTAACTAACTAACTAACTAACTAACTAACTAACTAACTAACTAACTAACTAACTAACTAACTAACTAACCAACTAACTAACTAACTAACTAACTAACTAACTAACTACCTAAGTAAATAACTAATTAACTACCTAAGTAACTAACTAACTAATTAACTAATGAACTAATTAACGAACTAATTAACTAACTAACTAACTAACTAACTAATTAACTAACCAACTAACTACCTAAGTAACTAACTAAATAACTACCTAATTAACTACCTAAGTAAGTAAGTAACTAACTAACTAACTAACCAACTAACTAACTAACTAACTAACTAACTAACTAACTAACTAACTAACTAACTAACTAACTAACTAACTAACTAACTAACTAACCAACTAACTAACTAACTAACTACTAACTAACTAACTAACTAACTAACTAACTAACTAACTAACTAACTAACTAACTAACCAACTAACTAACTAACTAACTAACTAACTAACTAACTAACTAACTAACTAACTAACTAACTAACTAACTAACTAACTAACTAACTACCTAAGTAACTAAATAATTAACTACCTAAGTAACTAACTAACTAATTAACTAACTAACTAATTAACTAACTAACTAATTAACTACCTAACTAACTATCTAACTAATTAGCGAACTAACTAACTGACTAACTGACTAACTAACTAACTAACTAACTAACTAAATAACTAACTAACTAACTAACTAACTAACTAACTAACTAACTAACTAACTAACTAATTAACTAACTAACTAATTAACTAACTAACTAACTAGCGTGATGACGGTGAATCTGCAACAATGACCATACTTCAAGAACAGCAAGTGAACAAGTCTGAGTTAGTTAGATCGATATGCAAGAAGGCAAGGAATAAGAATAAACAAAAATAGAACTCTCCCTCTCCCCTCCCCACTCTCTCTCTCTCTCTCTCTCTCTCTCTCTCTCTTGTTGTACCCCACCAGGACATCACACAAGCGATAAACACCCTGTGACCCAACTTGCCACCATGCGGATGAAGATCATCCGTGGAGAAGTCCCAAAAACCCCTTTCAGAAGTTAAGCCATATTTATGGCCCGGCTATATTCAGGGCCCCTGGCAAATGCCAGGGTGGGTCTTTAAATAACGAAAAATTGCATCCCACATGAGGACGATTGAAAACATAACATAGAACTGGTGTCGTCGGCAACTCCACTTTGGTTTGTGGGAATCGAACACTAGGCGACCAATTAGTTTGATTTACAGTGTGGATGATCTGTCGACTAATATCTGAAATGTAACAGACTTACAAAACGTTTGATATGATTCAAGCTCTTCACCCTCACCCCGTAGTTTTGCTTGTTGGTTATAAAATAAATGATAATATTTGTCATTTTAAGAAAATGGCAAACTGGACACGTATTGTTCAAGCACAGTTAACAAGGCAAACAATTACGTTTCAGAGAGCAAGAAATCGTAATTAGCGATTGTCTAACTTTATAGACATCTTCATTCTTGAAAAACGCATAAAGGGTTTACTTCCTGGTTCAGGTTCAAGATCTATTGTGATTTATTTTGGACCTGTGTCATGTCATTGATCATGACGAACTCGATATCGCTTCTAGTTTTAGAATACTAGTTTCCTTCTGAGACAACACAACATTGTGACAAGTTGTAAGTTTTCCTTCTCCTTTTTTTAAATTCAAAATGGCAACAAACCTTTGATTTGGTAATTAAAAAAAACTTATTACTATACACAACCATCGAATACACAACGAGTGAATTACTAATCAATGCCTTGCTTCTGCTTTCTCACTACTGCACTTTCTGTTTTCTCACAACGGAAACATGTGCCACTTTTTAGGGTGGTGTACTCCGGGTTCCGGGGCCCCATTGTGGGGGAAAACTAGAATAGACCCCCTGCTTACCCCAAAAACATGTAAAAGTCGGCTAACTAAATGGGAGCTTCCTTCTGTCGCGGAGCGGAGTGCATCTGCATGAGAGGCGAGGCAAGGTACCAGTACTAGCAGTCTGCGTATAAGCCAGATTCTGTTAAACGGGTGTGCACGTAACACTCAGATTCTGGAACAAGACTAAAAAGTCCAGAAGTGGACAAATAAGCAGCACTTTATGTCAGCGGTAAATAAGAAGACCAGAGGGCTGTCTTGAAACTGAGGATTTAGGTTACTGGCTGATACATTTACTACAGATTGATTGTGCAGGTTCTAATTTTATTTTTACCCCAAATCTCTTTCTTTTTTCTCAAATGAGAGCCAAGTGTGAGTGTACTACTTAACATTTCGACCATTCAGTCTCCAACTATTTATTAATAATTACTTAAACAGTTAATTCAAAAAGATGAACACAGAAATAAATTATGATGAATTAGTCACATTTAACCGAGAAAAACAGTAACCTGAAGTGTTGCACTAGTCTGACAGATACTTTGACAAATAAATTATGGTACCATTAAGAGAAACCACATTACTATTTGCTTGGTTTATTTTCATTATCTTTGTCCTTCCTTTGTGGATTTTCAGACCTAGCTGCTGTGATCTCACATCAGGTATATTTAATTTATCTGTGCATTGTATTTATTTGCTGAAATTCTCAACAGTTTTGTGTTCCAATGAATCCTTCAGATTTCACCTCTGGCCTCATCTAGTGAACCTGCCATGGCACTGTCTGTGGAGAAACTGCTGACGGATGCACACACTTTGGTCTTGCACTTAAGGGGCCATGATCTTCTTGCCGACAACATCATTGCCTCTTCACAAGCTCTCTATAATAAAGTGGAAGCTATGAAGCAGGTACACTTTGGAAATCACACCTCATTATCGCCTTCATCATCAATATTTTGGTGTTTGTCAGTGTCGTGTTTAGAGTTTCTAGAGATATGTCATGTACCTTGCTTTCCACAATCCAATGGCTCAGCACCTCAACCTTTAGCAGTCTTTTAGATTGCCAGGGTAAGTGAGTATGCTGCTCTGTGATGCTGTTGCAAATACCATCCTTTCCCAAAATCTGAGTTGTTTGGGTCACATTAAATGTCATGGCGGTCTTAAGAGAGTGGTCTTGAAGTGTACAGTTTCCAGAAAATGAAGCTGAGGCAGACCTCCATAGAGATAGATACAAGACAGTGTCACATGGGTATTTTGCTGCTTGGGCTATTCAGGCATGTTTGGAAATAAGCAGGCAGATAAATTGACTAGACTGGCCACACTTGAGAGTTTACTGCAACTGCACAGACCAAAAGTAATCTTTCACCTGTGAAACGAGGTAACAAGTGAAAAGGAAGATGTTGAAAATCCAGAGAGAATGATGTAGTTGGAAGTGTTTGCAGACTCTGAGCGCCACTCAAGAATTGGAGGGAAGGTGGACGACAGTGGGTACCATGAGTGTGGAGACTCCGCTGGTTGTTGAGCAGAAAGACCAAGCTAACAAGGGTATGTCCTGAATGCTGGGATATTGAATCTTGTCTAAAATGTAATTATATATGTGATTCTTTATTATCACAGAATTGTTCATTAATAGTTAATTCCTTCATATTTGAAAACATTTTCTAGTATCAAGATGACATTGCTGAGTTGAATGAGATTGCCAAGCATCGACCCCGATCGACGCTAGTTCTGGGGATAGCTCAAGAAAATCGGCAGATTCGTGAGCTGCAGCAGGAAAACAGGGAACTGCAAGCAGCTTTAGAGGAGCATCAGTCTGCCCTGGAGCTTATCATGCAGAAGTACAGAGAACACACAGTCAAGCTGATACAAAGTAACAGACTTGAGAGGGCTCTGTTAGAGCGGGAGGCTGTAGACAAGGTATACATTTAGATTAGACATAGTTTAGCTTCAGCTGGTGCAAATATTGAAAGAGTTGAAAGTTGAGAGTATATATTGATTTCCCCCCCCCCCCCCCCCCCCCCCGCCCCCTGACCAGTTTCTTCTTCTGCTTCTCCTTATCTTCCTTCAGTTACTCTGTTCTTTCTAATGTGTTGAATAAGTTGATCTGTTTTTATTTAGGACCGTTTTTGATGTTTTCATTCCATTTGAGGTCCTAAAATAGGCTTGCATCTATCAAAGGGGTATCGTTGCAGAGACGTATCTCTCAACCCAACATCATTTTCCTGTGGACTGTTTGTTTACATTTCAAGCTTGGAAACCTGTACGATGTACAAGTCCAGTACTGGAAATTTACAGGGTCAGTGAGGAGTATTAGGATGTAATCTGGTCATAACCCTAGAGAAATTCAAACGAGATATGGCCTAGGACTTCCAGGTTACCCCATACAAACAAAATATATATTATATTGACAGCAGTTTTCATGTTGATTTGTCAGACAAAAGGTTGCTTGTAAGGAACTGCAGTACTGGAAGATGTGTTTACAGTTGATGCCACAGATGGAACAGTTTGAAAAGTTGTTTGTAAGGAACTGCAGTACTGGAAGATGTGTTAACAGTTGATGCCACAAAATCGACCAATCAAAAGAAAAGATGTGATTAACATTTGATTAAGTGAGCAACCACAGTCCTTTTTTTTTCTTTGTGTGTATGGCATTCACTGCCTACCTAAGCAATGGTATGTTTGCCCGAATACCTGTGGTGACTTTTTCTGATAAATTCATAGTGCATAATTCTTTCAAAATGAATGCTGTGTTCAATTCTGCCACAGCTGTTGTTTCTTTCATGCTTTTGTAATAAAACCATTGGAACAGGTTTTGTATGAACACTCCTTATATATTCACAACTTCTTTTCTGATTTTATTGATGGAAGTAAATGTTACAAATGTTTCATTAATGGGAGGAATATATTTTTTGGTTTTCTGATAAAGATTTTCTTTTCTTTTTTTCTTTCTTTCTTTCTTTCTTTCTTTCTTTCTTTCTTTCTTTCTTTCTTTCTTTCTTTCTTTCTTTCTTTCTTTCTTTCTTTCTTTCTTTCCTTCTTTCTTTCCTTCTTTCTTTCTTTCTATCTTTCTATCTTTCTTTCTTTCAATCATAAATACCTGATTTATGTATCTAATGAATTCTTAATTTGTTTCTGTCTGCAGAGCTCCATGTGCCAGCTGATGGACAAAATTGATGAAATGGCTGGTGTGATGCAGAAAGCCATTGAGGTAAGTGTTCAATAGATAAGTGATTTCTGGAACAGATAATTGGCTTCAAGTTGAAATTTTCTGGAAATTTTCTTCATCACAGATTCTGTCTTTACCTTAGAGAGGCGATAATCCACTTCTTTCACCTTCTGTCGGTGTGAAATTACCATTCTTCCATCTCTGTAAACTGGTTGGAGGGTTGATTTTATGATTGGCTAGTCCATCCTGATTGATTGGCACTTTTCTTTTCAGATGATATTGTTATATTACGCTATGAGGAGGCATGGGACTCACAGCCCATGGCAATGGTGAGTGTGACTAGCAAGACCCGCTTTAGTAAGGTACTCGACCAGTGGGTTTTGCTCATGTTTCAAGAGTTTTTCCATGTAAATTGTCATCCATGTATAGCGGGCGGGCTGGTGAGTGCCAGAGAATTTCTGGACACTGCATCTCCAGGGGCCACCAACCCCGAGCTCCCCCACCAGCTCGGTTCAGACCGATACACCCTATTATCTTTAACGCACAATGAGGTTGTGCGACAGAAGTCTTGCATGAAGATCCATGAAAGCAGCATACAGTCTGTTGGCACCCTAGGTGAGGTGCAGGTATCTCCTTGTACACATCATAATGGAGCGGCTGGCCGAATGGTTAGAATGCTGAGCTCTCAAGTGGGAGACCCGGGTTTAAATCCTCAGTAAAGCTGGGGATTTGTTCTGTCAGGGGCTAAATAAAATCCTCACCTGCACAGTCGTGGTGACAGCACTAACTATGCGACTAAATCCTCAGGCTTGATGACCTTCCTGCCTTCACCGCAAAAGTGGTATAAAAAAGCAGTAGTTGGCAGTTTTATGCATCATAATGGCCTTAAATTTCTATCATGCCTGGGACCAAAATTAATACCCCAAAAATTAATGATTCACATTATCTGCACAGTAAATATGTTTGTTGTTAGGTTAACATTGTTCCCAATTTGTAAAATAAATTGTAATTTTTAATTATATTTTACTGTTGGTAAATAAACTAATGATGTATAGTTATTTGCTCATTTGTAAAACAAATAGTTATGTTTAATTATACCTGAATCATGATAAATTAACAAAAAATTATTAAAATAACTGCAAATAACTAGTTCATTTATATATGATTTAAATTAAATGAAATAATGGTGATATTTTTATTACTCATTTGTAGGTGGATGATACTGTGGGAAACGTGGAGAAGGAACGTTTGAGCCAGCTTGAATTAGAGAACAAAGCTTTAAGAGAAATGCTGGAGATTTGTACAACCAGCAAAGACAGAATTATAACTCTGGAAGCCCAGAAAGACAAAAAGGAAGAGGAGAAGCTGGGCAAGGAAGATAATAATACAGACACAGAATCTCATTCATCTACGTTAACTACCGCTGATAAAAAGGAAGTTGAGGAAGAAAAGGACAGGAAAAGTAAACTGCCAGAAGAAACGGTTGCGACAGTTAATACAAGCAAGGAAAGTAACTCTAAAGGTAAAGAGAGTACTCCTCCCCCAAGTACAGGGAGTGTAAAACCAGCAGGGACTAGTAAATCTGCCGCTGAGGTTAGGAAGGGGAAGTCACCCTTGACAAGTAAACAAGACAGTTCTGTGACAGTGAAAAAGACAGTGACTAGTCCAAGTTCCGGGGTGAAGAAAGATTTGCCGACTCTGAAGAAAAGCTCATCAACAGAAGTAAAGAAGGATCTGAAAAGTAAAATCACATTGAAATCTGTGGTCAAGAAATGAATAAGTGCATACATGGTTTTTGTGTTACAAGTGGTCATCATCATCCTTTGCCGTGCTGATAAGTATGTCAGCCATTGTTCCACATTTTGTACAATTACCTCAATCTCAGATCAGATCTTTGTTCTTGTCCTGCGCATGCTGTATGACAGAACGATCCAGGTGTTTATATCTTTGTCTTCCGCCTCGCTCTTTTTCATTATGTTTTGCCATGTGTATCTAATAATAAATGTAATTCTTTTCATAACATTCCCAAAATATTTTGACTGTCTACTTCTAATTTCTTTTATGAGTTTACAGGGTTCATCTGTTTCTTGAAGGACTGTCTCAATTGTTTTTCTATCCATCCATGATATTCTACACATGTAAGAACTAGCGTATTATCAACATAACAGTAAGCGTAATATGTCTGACTGAGACCTTCTTTCACTCCTGTGTAGTTATTACCTCAACACTGTCTAGCCCACAGTTTTTAATATCATAGAACAACTATTTACGAGTCAAGTGGAATTAAAAAATAAAGCTTTGGTATTAAGGGTTAAAGTAACAGTTGAGATAAATTGGGTTAAAATAACAGAAAAAGTATGTAGGTATATGCCATGTAAAGAGTAACTAAGGAACATAATGTGAGTATTTTGGAACGGAAAGAGTTGAGACACAATTTACAATCACTTTTTCTGATTTCTTTTAGAGATTTAAAGAAAAAATATTTTCAAAATCTCATTTAGTCTGTATTAACTACTTATTGAAATGTTAAATCATGACAAGTTCTACGGTAATGCTAGCCATATCATCTTTGTATATGCGATTCAGTCCTTGAAAATGTCTGCCTAACATCTGGAAACAGAATGTCATGGATCATGCGGCATGAAGAAGTAGGAAAATGTCTGCCTAACATCTGGAAACAGAATGTCATGGATCATGCGGCATGAAGAAGTGGGAAAATGTCTGCCCAACATCTGGAAACAGAATATCATGCGGCATGAAGAAGTGGGAAAATGTCTGCCTAACATCTGGAAACAGAATATCATGAATCATGTGGCATGAAGAAGTGGGAAAATGTCTGCCTAACATCTGGAAACAGAATGTCATGGATCATGCGGCATGAAGAAGTGGGAAAATGTCTGCCTAACATCTGGAAACAGAATGTCATGGATCATGCGGCATGAAGAAGTGGGAAAATGTCTGCCCAACATCTGGAAACAGAATGTCATGGACCATGTGGCACAAAGAAGTGGGAAAATGTCTGCCTAACATCTGGAAACAGAATGTCATTGATCATGTGGCACGAAGAAGTGGGAAAATCAGGAAGGGAATAGAAATAAAGAAGAAACTGACTGTAGATAAGTTGAGAGTTCAGTGTCTGAAAAGCAAATTAAATACATGCAGCGGAAGTTCTGGTCCTGAAATTCCATGCTCTAATTGTAGAAGGCTTTTTTTTTTTTTAATTTGAGTGGGTCTTGCTAATTACCATTTCCATGCACTTGAATTCCCATCCTCCCCCCTACCCCCATCAAATAAAAAATTCTGTCATTTAAAAAAAGAAAAGATGGATAAGTGCTAACTAACCATACGATATCTCAAATTTGCCATTTTGGCATAAAAACAATGCTACAATGTTAATATTTATTTAGACCTGGCACAAGCCAAAATTTACAAGTCGCTGAGTGAACAGACAACACACAGTGAAGTTCATACTAGAAACAGCATTGCATGTATAGATAATCTGTTTCAAGCGAACAAAAGAAAAAGTTAGTCAGTTATTAACTTTTTTCAGGGCTTGGGGTTTAGGGCCTAAAGGGCTAGTAAAGAGAAACATATAATCGGTGCATCTTGCATTTATTGGACTTCTATGTAGGAACTATGAACATATGATGTGTTCCTTGAGACTGAAAGGGTTAACTAATGGTGACTGTAGTAAAAAAAAAAAAAGTAAACATTTTACACTCATTTATAATTTCACTGCATCACGGAAATCCAAGAGCTTTTTTATATTTTAGTTTTTAGACAAATATTTATGGTCACGTGTTTTAACAGTCTCTGTTAAAAGCACATCTGCTTTTTTATGTGAATGAAATAGATTAAACTGCCGCAAAATTGTAAAAAGGTCACTAATTTTCTCAGCAAATATGTGAAACGATAATTCATTTTATTCCTGAGTGTTAACCCTTTAAAGGGTGAATCTTACATTATATTGTGGCTTACAGCTAAACTGTGATATCTGTGCTTTTCGGCCCAACACATCTAATTTCAGTAAACTTCAAAATTGTCGCTTTTTACAGCATGCTAGTTGGGGACAGTGGGTCTATTTCCGTCCCTTTCCCTCCTCCCTCCAAATAGGGCCCTGGAACCCTGATGAGAAATGTAAATAATTTCAAAATATGAAGTGTTGGCTGGGTTTACAATGTTACATTTAAGGATATTGCTGCAACAAGGCTTTATCAGCAAACAGTAATAAGAAGGAAAGCACAAAATGATGCAGAGATTTAATTGTTGATCCAGGGAAACATATTTTGGTGAAGAAACGACCTAGAAAGTTTGTATTTTAGAATTTTAATCCAGGAAATAATCTTACGGCAAATTTTATGATTCATCAAAAATGCAAACTATGGATTATGAGAAGCAGCAGTAACATTTTGTATTTGTTTCATTAACACTCATTACTGAACTAATCATGACAGCGATGGTTGAGGCATATAGAGAGAATGGCAGATGACAAAGAGACAAAACCTATGCATATGAAAAAGTTGAACAGGAGTAGACCCATGAAGCAGACCAAAAGATAGAGAACTAATATAGAGGCAGACCGACAAGCACTGGAAATTACCAACTGAAAAAGAGAAAAAGTCATGCAGGTCATGTCTGCAGCAATAACCTCAAGGGCTCAAAATACTGGAGAAAAAGAAGTTGAAACCTAATCCAGGAAATATATACAGGAACTCCTTGACTAACAGCCCAGTTATCTGTTCCCGCTAGCTGGTCTAAGTCTAATTGGTCATATTTCGGATTTAGATTTTTAGCACTATTTTCATTCAAACTGGTTATTAAAAATTGCACTTAAAACACAAACATTTAGTCTGTGTACTATAATTAATGTACATATTTTACTGTAGGCATTAGTTTCTGGAACTTTTTGAGCCTACCACTTGTAGTGATTTTTTTTTTTTCAATTACTGTTTTAATTATTTATTTTGTGTTTCTTAAGTGCAGATGGTCATGAGTCGAGGAGAAGGTGTGTCTGTGTGTGTTTGTATGTGTGTATATATCTGTGATGATTGATTCTGATATATATATATATAATGATTGATCCTAATTTATATCTGTACTGATTGATCCTGATATATATCTGTAATGATTGATCCTGGGAATAGACTAAGAAATACAAATCTTGGTAGGAATAGTGATGATCTTTTAAGACAATGATCTGGGATTATATATTTTTAAATTGATGAGCTCAGAAGTATAAATACTGCAAGAATAATAAATAACTTATACTACCCACCCACACTGGACTACAGGATCTGATTATCTATACAGATCGTTCGGTGGTGAGAGGAAAGAAAAAGTGTCTAGTGGTTCATAGCGAAAGCCAATGAAAAATCTTTAGTGCAAGACAGCCTAGCATATGACACCACAACATCTAGCATGAGAATGGAGGTGGAGGCAGTAACTGCAGCTCTGCGGTGGCTAGAGAACAAGATGCATACACATGTCGTAATTGTTACAGACTGTGAAGGCATGCTGAGAAAGATGAAGACAGGTGTGCTTCGAGTAGAGTGGAAAGCTTTACTGGGAAGGTCACGGGTAGTGAGCATACTTTGGATCTTTTCTCCAGGCTATGCCGGCGTAGTGGGTAATGAACAGACAGATTGGCTAGATCTGTACCACTGGGTGGTGAATTGATACATGACAAGGCAGATGTGATCAAGGCCCTTTGGGAACAAGCAGTAGAATCAGTAGAGAAAGAAGATTATTATGGCCTGGAGAGAATGAAGCACCTGGGTGCAGAAGGTCTGGCTGGCTCACTTCACTCAGAGGGAAGGCAAGACAGACTTTTTACCAGATTGTGACCATCAGTATTGGAACTCTGGGCTGGCTGCTAAAGATGAGGAGGGACCATGCATTGGAATGCCCTGCGTGCTGTGATGTCAATTCTTGACTCAACTCAACTCAGCTGGACTACAGGTTACTTTGTAAACCATTTGATGATGCCCCAATATAACTGCTATATAGTTGAACATGGTTTTAAGGTTTTGTAGCTGTGTGATTCTCATCCTTGAGGTGTTATTCCTACAGAATGCAGATCTGGAAGGGTAAAATGTTTTTGTTTTTGTTCAAAATGTGTTTATTTATTTTTTTGTTTAAATTTTTGCAGTCTCCATCTCCACATCCACGGATGTCTTTATGAATTTAATAAATGAGGCTCCTGTTTCTTCCATGGTGTGACTCTTATACTACTGTCTGAAAGCCACGAGAACGGCCTTGAGTAATTTATATACCACATATAGAAAACCTCTTATAATAAATGCTGGGGGTGGGGGGGGGGGGGCAATGTGTAATTTACTTTTTTAAAATTTTTATTTTGTGTAAATGTTTCTGTGAATAAAAATTTATGAATTATTAAGCACTAAAGTATCACACACCCGTGTTGACCTAGCCTAAAATGGGTATGAAGTAATGTCTGGGAAGTAAAGGTGGCCAGTATGATGCTGACAGGATCCCAATTGGGTTATAAAATATGGGTCTGCTTATGCTAATAACGTAAAGAGGGTCCTTTACTGTTACTTCCTTTTAATGTATAATACACATTTTATAATCATTGTTTGTTATAGCAGACTATATAACTGCATGATTTAAACTTGTTAGTCCTTGAATTAATGAATTTTAAATGAAAATTTCCTATGAACAACAAGCTTGTTCATGTCTGAAATAGAACTGAAGTCCCCAGATTTCTTTAGTTTGCACTGACCAAAAATAAAACATCATATCGTCAGATGGAAAAT